CGTAGAAATCATGCCTATAGGGATTCCCAAACTAAGTAAACAAAAATCTGGTTCGTTTCTATTCACACTCAATGTTAGATATCATGACCATAAGGTTGAAAATCAGCAACAGTAGATACCATCGCCTGAGGAAATTGAAACTAGTCTAATTTTTAAAGTCGGTCTATTCTAAACCAGTGCTTAAGTAGCTTAATCTCTCCTTGTTAACACGATTTAGCAATGCATGCCTATAGGATTTCAAATCATTCGTTTTAAGCTGTGACCACGCTCAGAATCAGCAATAGATGCATGTCCCTAAGAGTTTCCCTAAACACTTAGGCAAGCCTTAGGCAGTAATAATAATAAAAACTAAACTCGCTTCCTTTATTTGTTTAAGTGCTACAACCAGTTGGCAGGCCTGATTCGTGCTTCCTAACTGAGTCGTGTAATAGACCAAGCCTGCTGTAACAACCATGATCTCTTCCCTCAAGTATTTTTAGAATCAGACCTTACTTGTTTGTTTAAGTCATGCTATTGGATTATTTTGTTTGAGGAGGTATATTTGAGCCTTATGTGCTTATGTGCTTCCCCCTTGAATGTACAGTCTTTTATATGTTTTGTATGTCACCTTAGATTTTTACCTTTGAAACTTCAAGTCAGCCCAATATCCCTCCCTTTTAGGATTAGTAGTCCTAAGTACCTCCGGGACTGATAGGAATGGGACGGGTAATAGCATGCAATAGCGATCGAGACCAATCTGCGCTTTAATACCTTAACGGGTGGGAAGGGTAGATATGGATATGATGACCGGTGCGCTAATACCATGTGTAGCCCCTCTTTTGAGGAGTGATTACCGGGTATTGCATTGATGTGATCCATATTATGATTAAACCTAGGACCCCCTTTCCCTTTCTTTCTTTGTCTTAAAAAATATTTTGATTTCTTTTCAAAAATCAGCCTTTTAATAATTACTTTTCCATACTTTGTTTATTTCCAAGCATTTGTGTATTAAAATCCCCTCTTACTTGAGCCTTATTTGTTTACTTGTTAATTGCACCAAATTCACAAAAACTATCTGGCCGGGAACCACACTAGTGGATCCTAAGGGGTGCCTAACACCTTCCCCTTGGGATAATTTCAAAGCCCTTACCCTATCTCTGGTTATCAAAAGCGTAGTTGTAGTTGAATCTTGTAAGGTGTCCTAATACACCATAGATCATTAGGTGGCGACTCTCCAAAAATGCAAAACCCAGTTCCCAAAAGGAACGAGTTGCCCCATACCCAAAATGTCATAAACCTGATTCTCCCGCCTCGAGGAGGGAAAAAAGGGGGTGCGACACTTTATATACCTTGCTATCATGGTCATGTAGTACCCTTTATGGCACTAGTCCATAAATATCGGGTATTTTAGCTCGGGCCGTATTTTATCCCAAGATGACAAACTTTGACGAAATTCATTTTCTTCGATTCGCTTACTCCCTCACCTTCACGAATTAACTTATCACTTGTTTGAAATAGCTTAGTACTTATAATCCCAAAATAAATCTCATTCCTGAACTTACATCGATTAACTTACGATAAAACTTCAACGTATAAAAATGCAGGATGTAACATCTCATTTTTTAGATTAATTTATTTATGGCGTACTTTCACGTACGAATATATGGGATGTAACAAAAACAAAATCTAGACTCATAAAAAAGCTACAGTCAATGTCTTGGGTGACATCCGGTAGTTACTGCTCGGGCCTGCTCCCGATCTCATTATAAAGAACCTCCAAATAAGCCATGACCTATCAAGGAAAATTCAACATAGTGGCAAAGAACATAGCCTTAATCATCTTCTCACAGTCATTGCATTTCTTGGTAGTGTAGTCAACTATTTACTGAATTTTGAACTTTGTGATTCTCTGGTCCCGGTGCATCTATCTGATCTGATGTTCTCGGTCTTCCACCAACTATTGTGCTTGATCCCTCTGATTCTTTAAGTTTATCACATTCCTCTCCAGCTCGTTCAGCAAGTTGTAACAGTGTTTCCTTTCTGCCGTAAAATCTTCAACTTGTCAACCTATTTCATTTTCGATGACGCTCAACACTTTCCTTAAGCCAGCAACTTCTTCTTCATGGTTTTGTTTTGCTTGATCGGCCAATCTTAGATGGTTCTTGAGGTCCTCCCCTAATTGGACTATCATTTCTCGAGCTCTTCCTAGTTCTTTCTCAATTTTTGTTAAAACAGCCACATGATCAAATATCTTCTAACTCAAGTTGACAAAAATTCAAGTTGACAAAAATTTTTTGATCCCTTTCGCTCCTCACTGGTATTCTGATGCTCTTTTGATTTCGTGTAGTTGAGCTCGAAGGGCTTTGATTTTTCAAAACAACCTCTCACCTCTTTCCTCGTTATCTTGCAATTTCTTTTCAAAGCTAAGGACTCTCAATTGCTCTTTAAACTTGCTAATGGTGTCCCGATATTCTTCTTCTTTGGATGTCTAGGCTTGTTCTTTTGCCCCATTCGTAAATTGCTAGACATACAACCTTTTGGCGGGCCTCTCCAGCTCCTCATTTACCGATACCTTTTTGCCATACCATGTAGTGTAGCCTGATTCTACGTTCCCTGTTGATAAATCTTGCACCTGGGTGTGAGGCTCCTAAAACCTACACTTATGCCAGATCGGGCGAACCATTTCCTCTTGAAAGGCAGATCCCCGGCCTCTGTTAAAAGGGTATCAGGGCCTCTATCAAATCACCCCGGGCTTAATCATCAATAAACTAGTGAGATCTCGGTCATCGAACCTTGCCCTTCTTTTCCCAAGTCATCCCACCATATCTGCAGTCTCAAGGGAACCTCATCTACAACCCGAAATGGAAAACTGTGAATGGTGCTCATTCTTCACACAAATTATGACAAAAGGGGTAAAAACCGACACTATTTTCAAAAACAAAAGGGGTGATTAATTTTTGAAAAATTCATTTTAATGAAAACAGTGACAAAAAGGGGTTGTTTTCGTAAATATGACCCTTTAACACTTGAGAAATATTTTTAGGGTTATGTCTGCATAAATGGTGTGGTTATGGGAGGGGGGGAGGGGGGAGACTGACGCAGGTTGAGTTATGGATATTCTTGAAAAAGCAGCCTTCCGACGTCTTGGGAGAATGCATTGAGGTCATCACAACAAGAATGGCTCGCGGTATGAAAAGGGTATGACATGACTCCATTTTTTTTTGCCATATTCTCATTTTGGTATATTTTTGCAAAAGTGGGGCAGAACCTTATGAAGGTTACCTATGTACCTCACAATTGTGAGAATTAGGCCTGCGTAGTCCTGTGAATTTCTTCAAAACAGGGAGGAACATTTTGGAAAATTCAAGTTTCATTTCGCAACAACCGTCTGGATAAAAATTGGCAGGGTTTTGAGGACTTTTCAAATATCAAAATTTACAAGAACCATGTGAACTCCATTCTCTAACTTTTTTCTATCTTCGTTTTTCTCAATTTCTGTTCCCTATTCTAGAAGCCAGTCAACATGCAAATAGAATCAAACAAATGCACATGTAGCACGTAAGATATAGCAGGATGATCTTTTAATTTTGGGTACACGTGTCCTAGACGGACCCAACCCATGTGTTGAGTCCCTAAAGTCAAATGCATGTGATGCAAACAAGCATACCTACTGAGGATCTGGCATGAAACTATGTTCTTCTAGGGTTATATCTTAAAGGATATGAAGTTCTAGACCTGGCTTACCCTAGTGGACAATTCGAGCCGAGGGGAGCAGCGTAGCGGAAATACAGAAGCTTCACCAGCTTTGCAACTATTCCGTTCTTCATTCTAAATTTATGAGTGTGACTTCTAACAAAAAATAGCTACATGTACATGCGCTTCCAGTAGATATAGAAGACTCATAGAGAAGAAGGGTGGCGTTATAGTTCATATATACAGTTCACACAGTGTCTAAGCGGTAAATGAGCAGCAATTAGTACACTAGCCCCAAACATGTAGTATCATAAAATCACAATAAGCCAAGTATAAAAGTATTCTAAGCTCGAATTCTGAACCCTGAACCAGAGATTCTGGATTCGATCTCTAGCAGAGTCGCCAGAGCTATCACACCTCCTTTTTTCGTGGAATTGTCGAAAGAAAGGCATTTTTTTCAATTTAAGTGACATTATTAAAAAGGGATTGATTTAATTAAATTTTAAGAGTCTCTACTTAAAATTATTTGTGGTGTTCCTTACATAAATCCCAATTCAAGGAAAATTTTGTTCTACACTACGATTCGCAAAATACAAAAGATCGGATAATGAATTTCGTAAACTCGGAAGAAAGGTGTAAGATACTTCTACATTCTGTAGTTTTAGCATGGTTCTTAACGAATTATACTCAGCTTAATTATCTTGTAATATTACATGTTTTAAAACATGTGTATTTGACCATTTACTATTTTTGATTTTATATATTAAACAATTATAAAATTTATTTAGGCAAGTCGCGATTTTGCACACTTGTTATTTTATACAAATTGCTAATTGCGCCACGTGAAATGCACCCTTGATTTACAACATGTTTATTATTATTATTTGAAGTTGAGATGTCAAGTCACACAAATGCACACTTGAACTTTGGAGTTATGCATCACAGTTGAGCCACGGGACCCGAACCCACAACTGTGATAATCATTATACTAATCGCGCCTAAAGCATCTAATGGTATTAATAAGTACTTATTTTCTAAGTTTGAGATTGTTGTGAGGGCATGAATTATCGATACGATTTGTGGATAGGTATGGATTTGATTACTAAATCGTTCATAAGAATAAATGTGTTGCATCTTAATTAATTGTTAAAAATTTTGTTCTTACGATTGCCTAAGAAATTACAAATTGAATTGATTTAAATGTTTCGTCACAAAGTAGATTAATCGCCTATGTCCGACTAAAATAAATTGAAGTCTTTAAGGCTCGAAACTATTCTTTTATTTGTAAGAAACCCAATGACCCACTCAGTGCATGGAATTGATCATAATCAGTGAAGGATCTAACAGTTGATTACAAATCAATTTGGTTTACAAAGCATAACAAATTATTGGGTTACATGCTAAAAATTACCAAGTGGATCAGTTAGGCTAACATGGGATTTAGGAAGGGCCCATATCTATTGGGCTCACGAGGTTGGGCCATTTCAAACCCGCTTGGCCATGGAATTTCGGAGTTGGAGACTTCGTTGCCTCTATGATCGGATCAGAGCATCAAGCCCAGCGGTCTGGTGAAGATAAGGCTCATCTCATTCATGAACAAATTACACAACATCAATTCATAAGCGAGATTGCATACATAGCCAAATAAATGAAAATCAGGCTAATTTATAAATAATTACAAAGTTAGCATTATAGCGTTGTCCTACATCCGAATTCATTACAATAATAGCCACATTTTGGCAATTGAAAGGTAATTACTAGTACAGACTAGATTCCAAGCATAAACCTCTGTTCACAGTTGTAAATCGCTGAGGTTATTCATACTATGCTGATAGTTGACATGCTCATAAACTTATATTCAATCATTCAATACATCATGGCTTCTTATTCATGTATGCTAGTTCAAACAATCAGTAAATTAATATCAAGTACAGCTGAGTCAGACATTAAAAAATAGGTAAATTTATCAAGCTGAATTTCATGTTGTCTGGAATCAGCATATTTCAAAAATAATTACCAAACCATGTAGTCATAAAACAAGCATAAAGTCATAAGACATTCAATCATAAACCAATTCATTAGATCATTCCAACCAGTAGGGATACAGATCTTTGGTGTGTACCTAGTTTTGACACAATACAGCTTTAAATAGCAAAATAAAGGCCAGAGATCTACTAGTTGGAGCTCAGCAACAGAAGAAACAGCAAAATCAACAACAATTGATCAAACCAGCTTTTCTAAAAACCCAGAAACCGCACACTCAACCTTTAAACATCCAAAGAAGTTGAAATAGTTTTAGAGATTCCTCTAGAACCTAGATCTTCCTATGGTTTTAAAAGCTCAGTAAGTTTTTTCAGATTTTTCTTAGGTATTATGGTTGTTGCTCTATGTTTTCATCTGCTGATGGATGAAAAAGTGAGGAGTACAGCTCCTCTTATAAATCAATTCTTAGGGCTCCTTCTACATCTTTTCTTTCTTTTTATCCCTCTTATCTCTTCTATTTACTCTTGAAATCCTTTATACTTGGCCTCTTTTCCCTTTTTATTTGCTACATAGTCCCTATAGGTTCTTTCCTAAAAGTTTTCTGGTAGTTAACTAAAAGACTCCCTAAGTTAATTCCCTCAAGTACCCATTAGACCCCCTATTAATTATCAGTTTATTACTTAACTCTCCTAATTTAATATATTTCTTCATTTTTTACTTAAAATGTACTCAAAATGGGACCTAAGTTCAACCAGGTCAACTAACAGACTTGGACCTATATCTTATTGCCCCTAGGCCCACTGCCAGCTACACCAAATCAACTAGGCCCTAATTAACAAAACACTTCAATTAAACATAAGAAGCAATAATTTCCTAAACAATTAAACATGCAACAAAATTGAAACCACAATTAACAACACAGTTATGAAGAACAAGCGAAGTTATACTACGTTAACAAGATTCGACTAACCTAATTGATGGTAGGCTAGACACGTATATTTTAACTGTATTTTACACTCTAATTGCTGCAATTTATTCATATTTGAGGTTAAATTATGATGATTTGTACTTATTACGTGTTATATGCCTTGTGGAGACGATTCTGAGTTAAGAAGAAATTTTTGAGCTAAATTGAGTGATTCAATATTTTGAAGTCTGAGTAAAAGCCCAAAAATATAAACTGGAATCGCGGTCGGGGGTTGAGGACCATGTTTGGATGTCAAAAATTGTGAAAAAATATTACTCTAAGATTTTTACACTACCACGCTGCATGGGGCATCGCGGTAGTGTATTTTCGTTGTCTAACTTTTCTTATAAGGATTTTGACCGTAGTCGGAACTGTGTGAAGACGACTCCGAAATAGAGTTTCGTCAGTTCCGTTAGCTCCATTGGGTGATTTTGGACTTAGGAGCGCGTCCGGATTGTATTTTAGAGATGTTTAGCTGAATTAGGCTCAAAATGGCGAAAATTAAATTTTTGGAGATTTTGACATAAAGTGGACTTTTTGATATCGGGGCCGGATTTTGATTCCTGAAGTTAGAGTAGGCCCGTAATGTCAAATATGACGTGTGTGCAAAATTTGAGTTCAATCAAACGTGATTTGATAGGTTTCAGCATCGATTGTAGAAGTTTGAAGTTTAAAAGTTCATTAAGTTTGAATCGGAGGGTGCTTCATGATTTTAGCGTTGTTTGATATAATTTGAGGGTTCGACTAAGCTTGTATGGTGTTTTAGGACTTGTTGGTATATTTGGTTGAGGTCTTGGGGGCCTCGGTTTGATTTTGGATGGTTAGCGGATTGAATTGGAAGTTGGAGGAATGGCTGAAGCATTTCAGGCTTCTAGTGTTTTCGCACCTGCGGTGGGGAGACCGCAGGTGTGGGATCTCACGTGCGTGAGGTCAAGCATAGAAGCAGAGTTGGAATTAGTAGAGGTCGCAGGTGCGAGGGAAATGTTGCATCTACGATGCATGCAGATGCGCTTAAGGACCCGAAGACGCGGAGGAGACCGCGGAAGCGGACATAATTTCGCAGGCGCACACGCGCAGGTGCGGCCCTTTTATCGTAGAAGCGGACCCAGCCTCTTATGTCATTTCTGCACCTGCGATGGAATTTCCACCGATGAGGCATCGCTGGTGCGACTGGAAGCCCGCAGAAGCGAAATCGCTGGGCAGAAAAGGGCCAAGTTCGAGGGTTTTACTCCATTTTCAATTTTGGGAATTTCAGAGATCGTATTTGGGCGATAATGTAGGAGAATTTTAGAGGAAGCTTTTGGGGAAAGATTCTTAACCCATTTATGATTATATTCCACTATTTTATAGTTGATGTCATCATTTAATTAAGGAATTTGGTTGAGAAATTTGGGGAAAAATGCAGAAGTTCTTCAACTATGTTTTTGAGTTTTGATTTGAATTTCGATATCGTTTTTGGATAATTTTGGTACGAGTGAACTCGTGAGTGAATGGGTGTTCATAGTTTGTGACTTTTACCAGATTCCGAGACGTGGGCCCGGGTCATCTTTTTGGGGCAATTTTTCTAATTTCTTGCTTAAGCGTTGATTTCACTAATTAGATTAGTTTCTCACAGTTGTATTTATGGTATGTAATTGCTTTTGGCTATATTCGGGCCATTCAAAGTCCGAAAATAATGGAAAAGGCATTGTTACCGATTCATTGAGCTTGGTTCAAGGTAATTGGCTTGCCTAACCTTGTATGGGGGAACTCCCCTTAGGATTTTGTACTGACATGATATGTGATCGCCGTGTACGTGAGGTGACGAGTGCGCACACACGTTATTTGTTGTAAAACCCAATTTTTACTAAGTAGTAACCTGTTTAATCTTAATTGAGTTATACTAGCATGTGTAGTTACCCTGTTTACCCTAAAATCGCATGTCTACTTGTCTTAAATACTTATCTGAACTATGTGCAGCATGTTTAGTGGATTTCCTATTCTTCCTTGACGTGTACTTAGTCTAAACTGTAGGATTTTCTTGCTGTACCAGTTAATTCTATTGTTTTGAGCTGCGTATTTACTTTGGGACTACGGGACGGTATCCTGGGAGATCCCCCTGCACATTTACTCTTGAGACTACTATTTGGTACCCCGGGAGATCTCCCTTCACATTTACTTTTAGGACTACGAGGCGGTACCTCGGGAGATCTTCTTGCATATTTACTTTTTGGACTACGACACGGTATCTGGGAGATACCCCGCTATTTATTCCTGTGTATTGTACTGTTATTTATCTATGATTTCTTCTTTGTTAAATTCCAGTCTCTTGTTACACTGCGATATTTTTAGTCTACATATAAACTAGTAGGGCCCTGACCAGACCTCGTCACTACTCGACCGAGGTTAGGCTTGGCACTTACTGGGTACCGTTATGGTGTACTCATGCTTCTCTTCTGCACATGTTTTCGTGTGCAGATCCGGGTACCTCGTACCAGCCTCGCTATTAGTTGCGTACTTGCTGCTGCTCCGGAGACTTCAAGGTACATCTGCCCGCGTTCGCAGACCTCAGAGTCCTCCTCTATCCTATGTTGTTCCTCCTTTACTACTTCTAGTTACTAATGTATAGAAATAGTTAGACAAATTCTTAGATGCTTGTGACTTATGATTTTTCGGGTCTTGGGAAAATTCTGTGTATATTCGAGAGTTTGTTATTGTACATGCCGAGTGGCATTTTTACTAGTTATTTAAATTTCTATTATTGTTAGCTGTTATGGATTTGCTTTCATTTTGGTTATTTCCGCAAATGTTAAGCTTACCTACTCGTAGAGACTAGGTGCCGTCACGACATCTCACGGAGGGAGGATTGGGACGTGACAAGTTGGTATCAGAGCTCTAGGTTCGTAGGTGTCATGAGTCAAGACCAGGTTTAGTAGAGTCTCGCGGATCAGAACGGAGACGTCCGTACTTATCTTCGGGAGGCTTTGGAACTGTTACGAAAATTTCACTTCTTTTGATTCCTTGTCGTACGAAATTATTGACTTCGAAATTCTAAACTTCTTTCTTCTATTGTCTCACAAATGGTGAGGACACGTACAGCCGGATCAGATGACTAGGCACCCGTGCCCCTACTAGAGCCGCCAGAGGCCGGGGCCGGGGTAGAGGCCGAGGACATCCAAGTGGTGCAGCCAGAGCACCCGTACGAGCACACCCCTCTCAAACTCTCTCGAGTGTTCTTGAAACCCTAATCACCTTCCCCCCATTTTCGACCTCTAACTCACCAGAACCCATGGCCTCTCAGGCCATGGATAATCTATGCTCACCTCCTATCGCTCCTATGTGCTTGGTTCTCGAAGGTTCGAGGCTAGACCTCAAATGTCTCCACCCAGACCTCCGCCGACTTGAGGTTCCCGGCCATCTCCGGCCTGGCTCCGGCACATCTGAGCCTCCTGGACTCTCTCAAATTCACTCTGGATCCATATAATAAGTTTGAATCCTTTTGTGTATGAACTATTCTGATTAGCATGACAACCCCTTTTATATGTGTTAACATCTTTCTTCAAAAGGTTTTCCAATTTGTGTTCGAATCAAAATCCTTTTCTTGGGGTTAATTGATTGCCACTAGTAGCTCCAACTAGAGCGCAGGCACTTGAGACTCCTGTTACTGCACTAGCTCTTCAGGAGACCCTTGCATAGTTCCTGAGCATGTTCAGTACTCTAGCTTAGGCAGGGTTGATTCCCCTTGCTCCTGCCACATCTCAGGCCGGGGGATGAACAAAGACTCCCGCCACCCGCACCCCAGAGCAGCGGGTTTAGATCGATCAGATTCTGGAGGTTATACCGGTGCCGCCAGTAGCCCGAGTTCTGCCCCAGTTCACCCCTTGCTTCTGCCATGTTCACTAGCCTGGCATCATAGAATGCCCAGGGTTTTCTTGAGGAGTGCCGCCGTATCCTCCGTACTATGGGTGTAGCGGAGTCGAGTGGGCTTTCTTCACTGCGTTCTAGCTTAGAGGAGCAACCTATCAGTGGTGGCGTGCTTATGAGTTAGACAACCCAACTAAGGAAGCTTCACTTACATGGACTCAGTTCTCAGATATGTTTTTGAGGGAGTATATTCCCTAGAGCCTCAAAGATGCATGTCGCGCCGAGTTTGAGCAATTGCACCAGGGTGCTATGACAGTGTCAGAGTATGTAGTTCGTTTCAGTGATTTGGCTAGACATGCACCGGCCTTGGTTGCTATAGTTCGAGAAAGGGTACGTCGGTTTATCGAGGGGCTCTATCCAGCATCAGGATTAGCATGGCCCGGGAGTTGGAGATTGATATTTCGCACTAGAAGGTTGTGAGTATTGCTAGGAGAGTGGAGGGCATGCTTGTTCGGGAGAGAGAGGAGAGGGAGGCCAAGAGGTCTCGAGAGTCTTGCTCTTATACTGGTAATTATGCCCCAACTGTAGTTCGCCATGGTAGGGGCAATGTGAGTTTCCCTATTCATTCAGCACTTCCAGCCGCTAGTGGTATTCCGGCTACTCCTAGGCCTCAGGACCTTATTATGCACCGCCAGTATCTAGTGT